TAAAGTTGAGAGATATCATTAAAATAAATGTTTATTTGTCACATGCTTCGTAAACAACGGGTGTAGACTAACAGTGAAATGCTTACTTACGGTCCCTTCCCAACAACGCAGAGAGAAAAAATTTGAAATCATAGAGAAATAATAACAAGGAATAAATACACAATGAGTAACGATAACTTGGCTATATACACACGGGGTACCAGTATCGAGTCGATGTGCAGGGGTACAAGGTAATTGAGATAGATATGTACAGTGCCTTCAGAAATTATTCACACCCCTTTACTTTAAAAAAAATTATAAAATGTGTTACAGCCTGAATTGATTAAATTGAAATGTTGTGTCACTGATCGACACACAATACCCCATAATGTCAAAGTGGAATTTTCTTTGTTGAAAAATGTCAAGCACAGATTCAATTACAAAGACCAGGGAGGTTTTTCAATGCCTCGCAAAGAAGGGCACCGATTGGTAGATGTGTAAAAAAATAAAAGCAGACACCGAATATCCTTTTGAGCATGGTGAAGTTATTAATTAGGCTTTGGATGGTGTATCAATACACCCGACACTACAAAGATACAGAGCATCCTTCCTAACTCAGTTTCCGGAGAGGAAGGAAACCGCTTAGGGATTTCACAATGTGGCCAATGAAACAGTTACAGAGTTTAATGGTTGTGATATCAGAAAACTGAGGATGAATCGACAACATTGTAGTTACTCTACAATACTAACCTAAAAGACAGAGTGAAAAGAAGGAAGCCTGACAGAACAAAAATATTCCAAAACATGCATCCTGTTTGCAATAAGGCACTTATAGTGCATTCGGAAAGTATTCAGACCCCTTTACTTTTTCCACATTTTGTTACATTACAACATTATTCTAAAATGGAGTAAATTGTTTTTTTCATCTCATCAATCTACACACAATACCCCTTAATGACAAAGCAAAAACAGGTTTTTAGAAATGTTAGCAAATGTATTAAAAAAAATAAAAAATCTAATATTACATTTACATAAGTATTCAGACCCTTTACTCAGTACTTTGTTGAAGCACCTTTGGCAGCGATTACAGCCTTAAGTCTTCTTGGGTATGACCCTACAAGCTTGGCACACCTGTATTTGGGGAGTTTCTCCCATTCTTCTCTGCAGATCCTCTCAAGCTCTTTCAGGTTGGATGGGGAGGGTTGCTGCACAACTATTTTCAGGTCTCTCCAGAGATGTTCGATCGGGTTCAAGTCTGGGCTCTGGCTGGGCCACTCAAGGACATTCAGAGACTTGTCCCGAAGCCACTTCTGCGTTGACTTGGCTGTGTGGTTAGGGTCGTTGTCCTGGAAGGTGAATCTTCGCCCCAGTCTGAGGTCCTGAGCGCTCTGGAGCAGGTTTTCACCAAGGACCTCTCTGTACTTTGCTCTGTTAATCTTTCCCTCTATCCTGACTAGTCTCCCAGTCCCTGCCGCTGAAAAACATCCCCACAGCATGATGCTGCCACCACCATGCTTCACCGTAGGGATGGTGCCATGTTTCCTCCAGACGTGACGCTTGGCATTCAGTCCAAAGAGTTCAATCTTGGTTTCATCAGACCAGAGAATCTTGTTTCTCATGGTCTGAGAGTCTTTAGGTGCCTTTTAGAAAACTCCAAGCGGGCTGTCATCTGCCTTTTACTGAGGAGAGGCTTCTGTCTGGCCACTCTACTGTAAATATCTGATTGGTGGAGTGCTGCAGAGATGGTTGTCCTTCTGGAAGTTTCTCCCATCTCCACAGAGGAACTCTGGAGCCATATCGGAGTGACCATCGGATTCTTGGTCACCTCCCTGACCAAGGCCCTTCTCCCCCAATTGCTCAGTTTGGCCGGGTGGCCAGCTCTAGGATGAGTCTTGGTGGTTCCAAACTTCTTCCATTTAAGAATGATGGAGGCTACTGTATTCTTGGGGACCTTCAATACTGTAGAAATGTTTTGGTACTCTTCCCCAGATCTGTGCCTTGACACAATCCTGTTTCGGAGCTCTACAGACAATTCCTTCAACCTCACGGCTTGGTTTTGCTCTGACATGCACTGTCAACTGTGGGACCTTATATAGACAGGTGTGTGCCTTTCCAAATCATGTCCAATCAATAGAATTTACCACAGGTGGTCTCCAATCAAGTTGTAGAAACATCTCAAGGATGATCAATGGAAACAGGATGCACATGAGCTCAATTTCGAGTCTCATAGCAAAGGGTTTGAATACTTATGTAAATAAGGTATTTCTGTTTTGTATTTATTAAACGTTTTTAAAAATTCTAAAAACCTGTTTTCGCTTTGTCATTATGGGGTATTGTGTGTAGATTGATGAGGGAAAAATTTTACTTAATCAATTTTAGAACAAGGCTGTAATTTAACAAAATGTGGAAAAAGTCTGAGGTCTGAATACTTTCCGAATGCACTGTAAGTAATACTGCAAAAATTGTGGTAAAGAAATGAACTTTTTGTCCTAAATACAAAGTGTTATGTTTGGGGCAAATCAACACAACACATCACTGAGTACCACTCTTCATATCTTCAAGCATGGTGGTGGTTGCATCATGTTATGGGTATGCTTGTCATCTCAAGGACTAGGGAGGGTTTTTTTTGGGATAAAAAGAAACGGAATGCAGCTAAGCACTGGCAAAATCCTAGAAGAAAACCTGGTTCAGTCTTCTTTCCAACAGACAGTGGGAGACGAATTCACCTTTCAGCAGGACAATAACCTAAAACACAAGAAGGTTCATGTCCATTCTAGAATTCTAATTCCTAATTCTATGGTCCTAACTCTAGCAGGCTTGTAACTGCACGTGAATGGCGCACATGGCTAGACAAACTCCGAACTCTTCATTGAGACAATGCTGAAACATCAATCAATGGGGAGTTGGTACCACAATCAAAATGAAAGAAAATGCATCTTGCAAATTCAGCTGGCTATGGTCCCGTGTGGCTCAGTTGGTAGAGCATGGTGCTTGCAACACCATGGTTATGAGTTCAATTCCCACAGGGGACCAATACGGAAAAAATTATGAAAATGTAGGCGTTCACTTCTGTAAATTACTCTGGATAAGAGCGTCTGCTAAATGACGTAAATGTATTGTGTGAAATAGGCTTTTAGAAGTGCCGTCTTTATTTTATTACTTGGGTATTTTAACATTACTAGTACTGTTACTTTGCTTTCCAAACTGTACGTTTTTCACGCGATTGTATTTTGAGTCAAACTGTCAAACTGACAGCTGCAACCAACCATAGACATATAATCCATAGATGGCCGTTCCCATTCAAGTCAAGACTGGTAGCCATTGATAATGTACCCATGAGTTTAACAGACACATTGTGTGGGGATTTATTATTCTCATAGATGGATGGGATGACTAGCTTGGAAGGAATGCATTAATGATTAAGGCATGGAGGGTCTGGACTGTGCTGATGTGGGTTGTTTCACCTGGCAAGCTGTGATTAATGTGAGGAGCTGTTTTATGGAGCAGGGGAAGATAAGAATTTGTGTCTCCAAATACTAGACTATACTGCTTCTTTGTGATCTGTGAACCGTCCTTGGACGTAGGAATGGTGTCTAGGGGAGCTGGCTCTTCTCACCATGACAGGTTGTTATGATAAGAACTTATGCCTGGCAACAGTGTGCAACGGTGGAGCGCCAAGAGGCTGGGACTAGCCTGTGCGCCAACGGATTGGCTGAGTAAGTCTAAACCACGCTCAGTCTCTACCCTGATAGGCCCAGCAGAGAGCGGGAACTAAAAACTGTCCGAGTATTTGAAGAAGAATCTGTAACAATGGATTAGTTCTCTGAGTGCCCTGCGTGGTATTTCAGGGAGCCCGTATATACGAACATCATATTTACCATTGAAGTGTTTGCATTAATTAAATACTAGTCTATTTAGAAGACGTGTATTGACCTCTTTTGTTCCTAATACCAGATTTGAATTGACGCAATTTCTAACAATTGCCAGGGTTAGTGGTTCCAAAACTCTTCTATGGAATATATGTCTATGGCCACAATGCAACAAGCTGTTCTACAGATAGGAGTGGGAAAAAGCAGGTTTGGGGAAAGCAGCAGTGGGAAAAAACACACCAAAGACGGCATTAACGATAAGTAATAAAATAAAGACAGTACTTTTAAAAGCCATTTTGACACCATAGCCTGCTAAATCTGCAAGATAAATTTTCTTAAATGTTCCTTTCGTCACAAATTAAAATGTGGCACTTATTCGCCCATGGAATGATGTTTCAGCATTGTCTCAATGAAGAGTTCGGTGTTCGACTAACCATGTGCGACATGCACGCGCAGTTACAAGCCTGCCACAGCTAGCAGCCAGGCGAGCAATATCCACAGTCGTAGTACAGATTAAGCCTGATCTGGAATGTGAAGCTAACTGAAGCTGGCTAACTTTATAAAAGCCTGAGTAGATCTAGCTTGCTTCATAGTATACCATTCTGGAGTGGCATGTTAACATGAACTGTCTGTCTGCAGCTGAGCAGGCTGTGGGAGTAGCTATAGGAGTAATGGAACAGTAAGAAACACATCAAACATATGGAAACCACGTTTGACCCCGTTCCATGAATTCCATTCCAGTCATTACGGTACATCTTCCTAAAGCTCCTCCCACCAGCCTCCTCTGGTCTGCAGTGTAGCTGAGTCTTTCACATTATATTGTCTTGAAGTCTAATCCCATAACCCTATATTACATACATGGTTTGAGGAGTAGGTGAGGTAACTTTGGTCAACTCTGAGTTCAACTCGGGATAACCGGTACCAAGACAGTGGCTCACCTTTTAGCCAGGTACATTTATATGACAAAAAATCATTCAGAACTAACCTGTCCCGGGCAGGCTAACTCAGGGCATTTAGGATTGGTGTTTCTGCATTGTCTCAATAAAGAGTTCGGCGTTCGACTAGCCACGTGCGACATGCACGTGCAGTTGCAAGTACATACTCCTGCGCAGTAGATGGCGGTATCACACAATTTATTTTGTACATTTTTGTCGGTCTGCTTCTCTTTCTTTGCGTATCAGCACCAGTTCGCCGAAGAAGAAAAACATGCGCTTCCTCTTGGTCCGGAAAGCGTGGAAGTAAATGTATCTTGGTAAATAAATGTTCGTTTTCTAGCTACAAAATTATTTTGGCAAGATGGTTCGAAAATTGAAATTTCACGAGCAGAAGCTTTTGAAGAAGGTTGACTTTATCAACTGGGAGGTAGACAACAACCTGCACGAGGTGAAAGTATTGCGAAAGTATCACATCGAGAAGAGAGAAGACTACACTAAGTGAGTGTGCGGTTTTATGGCCTTTTTTTATGTCTCCAGCTATATGTAAAATGTGTTTAAATGAATCAATTAAGGTTTGGATGTGAAAGTTATTGTTCATTTGCTATATAGTAGAATAAGGGTGACTATTCCTAATTCTTAAAAGGCCTACCTACAGGCTGCATTCTAGTTCAATGATAGCCTCGATATAGGCGAACATCCAACCCTATTTTCCCATCTATTATATTCATATTTGTTCTATATGGAGGCAGTTTTAGCACTTTGACAATCCCTAGAAGGCTGTCCCTACTCAGGAGCCTCAGTGCTTTCTGATTAGCCACAGTCTGCTAACGTTATCTCCATAGGTACAATAAGTTGAGCCGTAACATCAGAGAGCTTGCTCAGAAGATACGTGATCTGGACGAGAAGGATGGCTTCAGAGCCCACAGCACAGGTCAACTACTTGAGAAACTGTGAGTATCAGTGTGACCGGGCTGAATTCGAACCAGGTCCCCTGCGCTCATAGGAAACTTGTCTGTCATCTAAAAGTAAAGTGGGTAACACAGATTTACTACAGTGATTATGGTGTGAACATTTGCATCTCTTCTTAAAGGTATGGTACTGGGCTGATCCCCACCAAACAGAACCTGGTTCTCACAGAGAAAGTCACAGCCTCTTCATTCTGCAGGTGAATAAACCCATTCCATCTCTCAATAACAATAGTAAGAGTAAAACTAGATGTTGCATTCTACCCATCACTTGTAATACCTCTGGCTCAATTCTCAATCTCTGATTTCCAGGAGGCGGCTACCCACCATAATGGTAAGCTTACGAATGGCTCAGAACCTGAAGACTGCCAATCACCTTCATCGAACAGGGACGTATCCTTCATACGGTCACAGTACGAGTGATGTAGTGCCTGTGTGCATGCTGTGGCAATGGTGTTTTTTTACCCTCTTGTAGGGATCATAGATTGAAATGTCAATTAGATTGGTCTTCTGTGATGAATATCAATGTAGTGCTTTGTGGCCTTGACTGTACCTTAGATGTGCGTGTGGGACCAGAGATTGTCACAGACCCAGCTTTCCTTGTCACTAGGTAAGTGTTGGGTTTTGTCTGACTACTTCTGGTACATATTTTTTCTGACATCTTGTCAGTCCCCAAATCCTAAATGTTTTATTCCATCAGAAATATGGAAGACTTTGTAACATGGGTTGACTCTTCAAAGATCAAACAGCACGTCATGACCTACAATGATGAGGTGAGAGAGACCACGATCTAACAAACAAACTGAATTTTGTCAAGACTTCTTGACTCTGTTTGAATATAAGATTGTCTAGTCTATGATGGTAAATCCTGTTGTACACATAGGGTTTCTGACTGTCTCAGTGTTGCCTTTTGTTTTCCAGAGGGATGACTTTGATCTTGTGGTGTAGACCTATTCACCATCAGGTCATTCATCACCCCTGGGAAGGACGAGGAATGTGAAGAGGCTTGCATGTGTGTGTGTATAACAAGTATGAGCATTTGTATGGGTGAGCCCATGTTTGAGCGTGTATGTTTGACTGTGCAAGTGTGTGTGTGTGTGTGTATTTTTTGTTGGGGAAGGGAGTGTTATTTCTAATTTCAACATGTAGTGTTTAATTTTTTTAAATAAACATTAAGATAGTAAATATACATTTCAACAAATCATATTTTGCAGTTCTGTAACCTTTGTAAACAAAACTCAACTTTTTTGCCATGTTAGAGTTTTCACACTTACGACCATTTGCATATAGATAGAATTTTCCTTCACAAAGAGACATTGTAAAAAATTAAGTAACGGAATAATGTAAACAATGCATTTTCCATCTCTTTTATGCTCCAGCTAATGGGATTGTACAAGCACTATGAATTCACAGAAAGCTCCACTTGGCTCACATTATCAACCACAGGGCAGTATCTTTATACAGGTATTGTAGGGCCCTGTGTTTGGTTAATCATGTCACATGACCTGGATTTTAACCTTTAATTTAAAGCTGTCTGTCAGATGCTCCAGCACCATCCTCAGACAATTGCTTTAATTTTTGGTCTAATTCTCATTTCTGGAAAAGGCTTAAAGTAAAGGTTAAAATCTAGGTCAAGTGACACGTTTTAAGCAAAACACAGGACCCTAGGTACGAGACATGACAAAGCTGAAAAAGGCACGGTTCCATCCACTCATTTACATTTAAGTCATTTAGCAGACGCTCTTATCCAGAGCGACTTACACTCATCCAATACTCACAAGGTCTCTCCCTAAGGCATCCATGTAGGAACTTAAGATTTGCTGTTAACAGAAACCACCAATATGATAGCCTATAATTAATAGGTACCAGTGAGTTTAAATATTTGTTTAAAGGGAATCCAGACTCTCCTCTTTCAAAGTCCTTATGCCAATCCATCAGATCCACCAGAAACGCACATAGATGATGAGTGTAATGAAGAAGACTGCCCCGGCTGCTATCTTGGCATAGCTGGATCGGGTGTTGAGGTACTTGGCGTCGCTGCGGTACTTCTTTGAAAGGCTGGACAGATTGCTGGCTTTGGTGTCAAGAGCTGGAGGGAAAAATATTCATCTCAATTTTAGTACCGTAATGTAAACAATAATAGCTGTATTATATTTAACCGTGTATGTAGAGTGCATTCGGAAGGTATTCAGACCTAGAATTCTTCCACATTGTTACATTACACCCTTATTCTAAAATGGATTCAATTGTTTTTTTTACATTTACATTTTAGTCATTTAGCAGACGCTCTTATCCAGAGCGACTTACAGTTAGTGAGTGTTGAGGGGAAAAAGGCCCCCCGTGGGAATCGAACCCACAACCGCCATGCTCTACCAACTGAGCTACATCCCTGCCGGCCATTCCATTCCCTACCCTGGACGACGCTGGGCCAATTGTGCGCCGCCCCATGGGTCTCCCGGTCGCGGCCGGGTACGACAGAGCCTGGATTCGAACCAGGAGCTCTAGTGGCACAGCTAGCGATGCAGTGCCGTAGACCACTGCGCCACTCGGGCGCCACTTTTTCCCCTCAACAATCTACACACAATACCCCACAATGACGAAGCAAAAACAGACTTTTAGAAATGTTTGCAAATGTACAAATAATAAACTGAAATATGACATTTACATAAGTATTCAGACCCTTTACTCAGTACTTTGTTGAAGTACCTTTGGCAGCGATTTCAGGTCTCTCCAGAGATTTTCGATCGGGTTCAAGTCCAGGCTCTGGCTGGGCCACTCAAGGACATCCAGAGACTTGTCCCGAAGCCACTCCTGAGTTGTCTTGGCTGTGTGCTTAGGGTCGTTGTCCTGTTGGAAGGTGAACCTTCGCCCCAGTCTGAGGTCCTGAGCACTCTGGAGCAGGTTTTCATCAAGGATCTCTGTATTTTGCTCCGTTCATCTTTCCCTCAATCCTGACTAGTCTCCCTGCCACTGAAAAACACCCCCACAGCATGCTGCTGCCACCACGCTTCACCATAGGGATGGTACCAGGTTTCCTCCAGACGTGACACTTGTCATTCAGGCCAGAGTTCAATCTTTGTTTCATCACACCAGAAAATCTTGTTTCTCATGGTCGAGAGTCCTTTAGGTGCCTTTTGGCAAACTCCAAGCGGGCTCCCATGTGCCTTTTACTGAGGAGTGGCTTCTGTCTGGCTACTCTACCATAAAGGCCTGATTGGTAGAGTGCTGCAGAGATGGTTGTCCTTCTGGAAGGTTCACCCATCTCCACATAGGAACTCTGGAGCTCTGTCAGAGTGACCATTGGGTTCTTGGTCACCTCCCTGACCAAGGCCCTTCTCTCCCCGATTTCTCAGTTTGGCCGGGCGGCCACTGTGTCCTTGGGGACCTTCAACGCTGCAGACATTTTTTGGTGCCCTTCCCTAGATCTGTGTCTCGACACAATACTGTCTCGAAGTTCTACGGACAATTCCTTCGACCTCATGGCTTGGTTTTTGCTCTGACATGCACTGTCAACTGTGGGACCTTATATAGACAGGTGTGTGCCTTTTCTAAATCATGTCCAATCAATTGAATTTACCACAGGTGGTCTCCAATCAAGTTGTAGAAACATCTCAAGGATGATGAATGGAAACAGGATGCACCTGAGCTCAATTTCGAGTCTCGTAGCAAAGGGTCTGAATACTTATGTAAATAAGGTATGTTTTTATTTTTTAATACATCTGCTAACATTTCAAACCTGTTTTCACTTTGTCATTATGGGGTATTGTGTGTAGATTGAGGATTTGTATTTATTTAATCCATTTTAGAATAAGACTGTAACTTATCAAAATGTGGAAAACGGGAAGGGGTCTGAATACTTTCCGAATGCACTGTATGCAGGCTTCAATCTTAAATGGGAAAGATAGGCACCACTTAAAGAAGGAAATAGATGTTGCCCATCTTTTCCATTCATTTGGGATTGAGGTCTGCAGTTTTACCTTAATAGATATTGTGGTTCAACAACTGATAGCATGGAATATGGACTCAGCTCAATGTTAGACAACTTTATGTATGAAAACATCTGACAAAGTTAGATTTTGGGCTGAATTATCCCTTTAAATGAATTAGGTGTATTTTATGTCTGGCGGGTTTGATGACAGGGCTGTGTATTATACGAGGTATGATGATTACCAGATAGGGCCTCTCCTCGTTGCAGGACCTCTTCAATGTTTGCCACCATGATCCGCTGGACGTCCTGCAGTTCTGTGTTGATGCTGCCCAGGTTCCTCCGCGCCCTGCTGTCAATGTAGTTCTTCTTTGTCTTCTGGATGTACATGTCTGAGGAAGGATGACAAATAACACACTACGTGTTGGTTTAGGGTGCATCTAAAGTCTAATGTGGCATCCGCTTGTATCTGCACTGAATTGAAAAACATGGGATGGGGAAACGCAATAGAATATGCTGGATTTTCCTTTGCCAGACTTATCTAGTTTGCTTTTTTACATCAGCTATGATGCACCCTTACTTCAAATATGTTTTGTTTGCCTAGGGTGTCTTGAATTGGACGCTGATGATTGAAAAAATTAAAAGGTCTCACCAAACTCAATGAAAGAGTACGGCCTGGAGACTGTGGAGACTTTCTTTCCATGCTGTTCATTGAATTCTGTCTGGAGGTCTTCAAGGTACCCAAAGACCAGTTTCTTGGGAAACACAGCTTCACACAAGGCCAAGTAGCACACGCCGTGTTCTATTACATAGCTGGCGAGACAAACACAGATGTAAACCGTTAGTGGGAAGAAACATTTAATACGTTACAGCTTATCTCAAATAGGCCGATCAAGATTTCTACATACACCACTGCGGCCGACCAGTCACAGTCTAGTGGGTTATCGTTAAGAGACAGTTATTCCTGAACAAGTAACCCGAGTTTTGCCTTGTTAGGACTGTGGAAACTCGGCACTAATGACACAGACTAGCACAGAAGACACCATAGAGTTCATACTTACTGGAAGGACATAACCCCAGCCTCCAGAGTACATCTATTGGGACTCTGGGCATTTAGTTTGCGGCACAGCTGCTTAGCCTGGCTCTGGTAATGTTGCAAGTCTCTTCCTGACTAAACATAGGGAGAGATAAAGGGGTATGAAATAATTACTTCAGTTAAAACAAACAGCTACACTATATATGATAGAAGTGCCTCTAAAACAAGGCAATTGGGAAATATAAATGTTAGCTAGTAGTACTCACCAGAATATGATGTAATTTAGCTAGCTAAATCAAGTTTGTAAACCGCTAGCTAGGAAGTAAATTGGGTTCATTCAAACCTGCTCGTCTTCTTGCATCGACGCAGCAAGCGGCAGTCCATCTGCTACTCGAGCGATCATTGTCAGCAAAATCATCTTGATCGAAACCTCTACAATCCACACTACAGGCTGAGTTGTAAGTGTTTGCTGGCTGTGTAAAAACTTCAAATAAACTTGGCTGCGTAGCTTCTGCTGTCAAATCTGACGCGCTGGAGGATAGCTCGATGCGGGTTCTGTTGCTGTGTTCACAATTTCCGACTTGCTGATTCGTTGAACGTGGCACGTGTATAACTACAACCAGTTAGCAAGTCGAACATTTCAGAGTTCCGACTAGCATGTCAACAATGCATGACTAGAGGGAGTCCAGTTACGACCGGAAGTGACTTTGTCGTAGCAGGTTAGGAGACTTAGGTTAAGGTAAGAAAAAGGTTTAGGGTGAGCTAAAATGTTCTCCTAACCTGCTACGAAAAGTAACTTCTGGTCGTAGCTGTACTCCAGAGATACTTTTGAGGAGATTGGAATCGAGATTGGAATCATGGGCAACCTTTTGTACGTTGCCCATGCGTCGTCAATGGGCCGCGCGGTGCATTCTGGGCGATTCTGGGACAAGGAGAGCTCTCCTTCAGGGAGTGAATGGGAGTCAATTGGGCTGTAGCTCAAAAACCCAAAATTAGCATGAGTTTCGTCAACAAGAAGTACAACATTACAAATCTTTTCCGAGATGTGAGATAATTAAATTGTTCTCTGTAATATCGCATAGCTTTGGAATCGTGACATTACGTACTTTTGAGGAAAATAGGCAGGTTTCTCGACTCATACGCTGACTTTCAGAAGGGATAAGTGAGGCGTTACGTTCCTCCATTTAATGGCCAATTGAATTCCTATCTTCTCCTTTCTCCAATATCTCTGTATACTCTCTCAAATCACACAACCCTCAATGTGTGAGGGGTCGTCACTAGTTATCACAGCCACAAAGTCATAAACCCTGCCTATTTCTACAATATATCTTCTTAAAATGTGATTTTAAACCGTACCCTAACCTTAACCACAGTGCTAACCGTATGCCTAGCCCTAATCTTAAATTAAGATCAAAAAGCGAATATATACGATATAGCCAATTTGACTTTGTGGCTGTGGTAACTAGTGGAAACCATGCGTGTGATGTGGCCGGAAGTCCTTGTTGTTGCGCCCTGGAATTGGGTCCGACGGCAACTCAACCATAGAGAATGATAGAGAGGCCTGTAGTGGCCAAAAGGTAATTTTAGCATAAGCAGCACCATTGAAGGCTTCCACCATTTTAATGTAGTCAACTGGGTGGGACTTCCAACTTCATTGGCTGAGCCCTCCTGGTGACCCTGTTGGAGTCATGTCCAACCGGGTCATCAGGAAGGATCAGCCAATCGTGAATAAGAAAATGGACTACTTTAAAATGGAGATAGTCTCAATGTCGCCGCCAATGCTGTCACAGAAGTTATAATAGCACAGATACAAAGATTAGTCCTCAATCTATCTCTATGCTCTCAACTTTCTTCTTATTATTAGAGTGGTTTTCCGGCCGACTAGAGGCTTTGTTGGGTATTGCTGCCTTTCACAGGTAATAATAATAAATAAATAATATGCCATTTAGCAGACGCTTTTATCCAAAGCGACTTACAGTCATGCGTGCATACATTTTTTTGTGTATGGGTGGTCCCGGGGATCGAACCCACTACCTTGGCGTTACAAGCGCCGTGCTCTACCAGCTGAGCTACAGAGGACCACAGGTGTGAATTTCACATTTGTTCACAATTGTACCCTCCAGATTTCACAAAAAAGGGGAATGGGAAAAAATAAATTGCCCCACTATCTAACTTGACATAAACGCCACTATCCCCAACAAACCCACCACCCTTTCCCACTCTTTTGGCCCTAACAGATCCTCCCAGGCCGATGGAACCCCTTCGCTCAAAATCCCCTGTAGTTCTTCTTCACTAAAATCTCTGACACCCAAAAGCTTCTCTGCTGCTGCTATTACCAAATCAATCTTCTGGTTTTTCCGTTCCATCTGTAAGGTACAATTAATGACCATAGAGACTTTCCTCACTGCCTCAGCATGACACTTTCTACACTGCTCGAACCCTGGCAAACTCAAACGGACTCTCTTGCACCGGACATTTTTGAGCCCCAGCAACAAGGGCATCCGCACAATTGACACACAGCTCTTTTCACCGAAACTACACACAAGTCAATATGTTTTATGCGAATGTTCTTTTCAGCCATAATATTAGAATATAGTTAAGTCTCATGAGGCTCGATTTCATTTTTAAATGTTCTGGGTAATGTCTGAAGACCATCACCAAAGAACAATTTGTGTCATCACTTTGACTAATTATTCTCCAGACCGGACCAGACAGTGAGACAGGCGGATAGCATCTCGATTGCTAATGTCTGACGGTGTATTGAGCGATGCAGATGCTGTCCCTGATACGGGCGCCTGTCGTTTGAAGTCGGTCGAAACTCCAACAACCAATACAGGTAGAACCATGGACAAATCCTGTAAAAAATGGTAAATTTGCTTTGGAATAACATTGAATATTTGCATTGGTCCAGTCGTTTTGTTTGTTTGTGTGGAGGTTGGCTGGATCTTTGTATAGGGAATCGTTGTACAATGGAACCGTGTTCTATTGCATTTTCTTTTATTATAGTCAATAGCTAATATTCAGCCTTCAGTTTTTTCGTTGATGTTCGAGTCAATATTGGTGGCGTTTTTCCAGTTTTCGGTTATGAAATAAAATAGCAATGGATGCTGCCTGCCTGCCTATAAATAAAGCTCAATTGATAGCATCACCGATGCACTGAAATAGCATGATAGCATAGCCCACATTTTCATATAGCTTTCTAATGTCATTGCACTAACTCAGTAGAATATCGAAACAGGATGACAGTCCAATCGGTCAGCTGACACCACAGCTGGACACAGCTCATCAGATCAGTGCGCTCAACCAGAGACCCGTTTGTCCAATAATAATCAGGTCGTCAGACCAGTCTCCATTCGAGGGCTTATGCTATGAAAATGTATCTGCTCTTGACCAACAACCATAATGCCTCAATAGCACACACAACCAGCTATTATTTGTATACTCTCTCGGTCTACCATGTCAATACTTGGACGGTACATTGATTGGGTAACGAACGCATAGTCTTAATTGTCACATCCCCCCATTCGCTGATGCCCAACAATCTAACCGGTTCGCAGGAGATTATCCGGTGCATTGGCATCGCGAGCGGCTTTGAATGGCCTATTGTGTGAGGTGCAGCTGGCACGATCGTGTGTTGTGATTGTAGTTCTCAACTGTGCATCGCTAAACTAGCCAGGCTTAGTGAAAGGCCTTGGCCAGTGGGTTATTCTTCGATATTTATGATTATTTAATTAATCATGGTGGAGTGTTCTTTTGGGTGGAATGCTTCTAGGCAAGTTGCCACTGACACAAGGTCAGATACTCCCTCATACTTAATATCCTTAATATCTCCTTCTCCCCATCTTACCTCTCTCCCTCCCTTCCTCTAGGTCATGTGATGTGCGTGGGTGAGGAGGAAAGCGGGTAAGGAGATGGGCTGCACCTCGGCCAAGCAGGTGTCGGCCGTGTCCAGTGGTGAGGAGGGCCGCAGTAAAGCCTACAGTAATGGGGACCTTCTTTCTGGTCAGTACTGGGAACACATTCACCTGGGGCCCTGTACAGGGGGTCTGTTCAGGAGGGTTACAGAATGTTTAGAATGTTCAGACTCACAGAATGTTCTGATGAGAAAGTATTGTACTGTGTGGCTCAGTTGGGAGAGAATGGCGCTTACCATGCCAAGGGTTGTGGGTTCGATTTCTGATGGGGACACCCGTACTTAAAATGTAGGCCTATGTGCAGATGACTGTAAGTCGCTTTGGATGAAAGTGTCTGCCAAATGGAATAAACAGATATGCTTATGTGAAAAATAGAATATTGAATCGTATGTTTGTTACATTCCGTACACATTTTGGGAATGTTTCGACATACAACACACTGAGTACTAGCATACCTACCCACATGCTTTACCCAAATATTGGCTGGTGGTGCTGCTAATGATAGTGCAACAACCTCAGGGAGTAGTCCGAGAGGAGAGTCAAACCTCCAAACCATTCGGTCCCAAGCATGCTATCCACCATTCCAAGACAGTTAACATGTAAGTGCTCATAACGCACTGACCAAGGTTATAGTCGGTACAGTGTCACAGCAGCATACGATTTAAACGAGGAGCTCCTCCTAATATTGTCCCATATTTTCCATTAATACCAGTCACTTTATCTTGTCCCCATTTACCTGTAAATTGAGGAACGAGGAGACCTTGTTCTACTATTATTACTTTCTGTTCTGTGCCGAAAATAAATAGTAGTGAAGGCTTGGTCATGGCTGCATGTCCGTTGTCAGGTCACTCTGTCTCTTTATTAGGTAATTGGCTGTGTGTCTGTTTTCCTTTCCTCTAATCTCTCTGCCCAGTGTGTGTGAGAGTGAGAAGGAGGGATAGAAATGG